TTTTTGGAGATTTCCCCCCCACCATTTATAGGAAACGAGGGTAATATTTGCAAATTTTTAGGGTAATGTCTTCGACTTAATACGACTTGTGATCTTTTGACGTATCGTTGAAAGAAATCCGTTCGGTGAGAGCTGAGAAAAAGTGGTAAAAGACACAAAAAAAAAAAAAAAAACACATCATAGTAAAACCAATACCTTATCAGCTTCGCATCGAAGCTAAAAAATTCTAAATGTATAATGAGTGTTATTATTTCTGATTAGTATTTATACTAGATAATTTAAAAGAAGCATTCATGTTTAATTGTAAAATAATATCACATATTTTTTATACTTGCGTAAATACGCACTTTTCATTGTACATCTAAATAGATATTATTTACCTAATACAGTAAATTTTACCGAAAATAAAAATTGTATGTTTATTTGTTAAACAAAGAAAAGAGTACCATCTATTAGTATAAAAAGGGAAGACATTTTTTCTCTTTAATCGTATTGTGCATGAATAATCATTTTTCCAAAATGTTTAAACTGTCTTTATTTTCATTACTTTGTATATGTGGTGATATTAATTTTAGAGTAACGGCTATAAGTGTTTCTGAATTTAATACTTTGGTGCAACACCCAGGCTGGAGAAAATTAACAACGCATAGATATGCTAATGAATTCATATTCGAAGGTCTGAATTTTGAAGATACTTATAAAAATTTTACTTTAAGTGAAATTTTCCCACGTGATTCGAACACTAATCTTATTACAGAACAGAATTTTGTCGATAGAGTATGGCAATTCCATTTGTTATTGAGCGTTCACTATGCTATTGATCTACAAAGTCTAACCAATTTAACGAAAGATTTCTGGTTCCATTGTAAAAATAACTACAAAGATGATTTGCAAATAAAATGTCTAGATATTTTTAATGAAAAATTTAAAATTTTTTACACAGAACTGGAAAAGATGCAAAATTCATTATTATATTTTCGTAAAATGGTTAATCTACCAATGCATAACATTGATTGGACACTCAATAGTAATGGAATTCTAGGTACTATATATACTTTGAGAGATATAGGATTAAAAAAACATCTTCCAACAGATGAAGTTTTTGAAAATATAATAAAAAATGTACGAATTAAAATTGAAAACTATTTTTTCAGTCATATTGGTAATTTAAACTTTCCTGTAAATGAACTAGACCATGACATTTTTTGTAATTGGTATAAGAATATTACAATAGCACAACAAGACAATGATAAACCAATTCATGAAAGGTATCATACAAGTATTATGAATCTTATTGAAAGTAACAATAGTTTCGGTTTTCAATATGATCCAAATACTCTTGCAATAACTCTAAACTTAACGGAAAATTGTAGGCAGTCATTTGGAAGATTATCATTATAAAAAGTAAACATTTATACTTGGACATTATTAAAATTTTAATAATTAATAATAATATTGTCAATGTTTGTTTTATTGGAAAATAAAATATTTTAAATTATCAAGTTTTACTTTATTTTTAATTTAAAGAAACCTTATAGAATAGATAATCTTTTTATCTATTAAATGCCCATGTACGACAATAACATGAAAGAGGGTGGTAATAAGAGGAACAATATCTCCTTAGAAAATTCATCGATAATTTAATCATTTTACGATCAATAACTTAATTTTTTTTTTTTTACTTGGTATGTAGCCAAAAATAAATTAAATAGTGTAATGCTCATCATAATAATTTGAATAAAACGCTTCTTATAGTAGTTAATATCTAAACAATAAATTATACCTTACGTAACTATATTTAACATCATGAAGTAAATAATATCTCTTTTTTAAAAATATCGTATTTGAAATAAAACTTATGTAATATATAAATCCTATTACCGTATCAAATTGTTATTTTGCCCACAAAATCTAATAAGTTATTTTATATATTTCAAAAAAGAGCTTCAAGTTTTGTCCGTGTTGTGTAAAATACTTGAGAAACTAAAATTACATTAAATTCATATTTATCATGCAAAAGGAAATTTTTAGTGAGCAAAAATGAGAAGGTTATCAAAAAACCCAGGAGTCAAATTTCTGAATACATCTCTGATTGATATTGTTAAAATACATTCAATAAAAATTTAACTAAAATATAATGTGTTCCATAAATAAAGAAACAGGTTTTTTTTATTGTTCTCATTGTTTGTAACAACTGACCTATTTCATTACTTTTTAAGTGCTTTGTATATGTATAACAAAATATCTCGTGTTAGTACAAATAATATTTAAAATACCTAACTTAAGTTAGGGAATTTGCAATAATGATATATGAAATCATATTTTTTAATTTTGTTTAAAATACCTGAGAAATAAAAACTACATTTAATTTACAATAATTAATATTTATGTAGATATTTATTACTAAACGATTATTTTGCATCTAAAAATATGAGGTTTGCCCCTTTTCTTCAAAAATAACCTTTCCGTTTTCTATCAATGATTTTTCCGTTAGTATAATATTATGAAACACAGCATCGATGGGTTTTTTTTTTAATAAAATTCTCATTTAATTAATCATAATGGCTATTATAAATTTAAAATAAAGTATTTATTACTATTCTTCTCCTATGAAAAACTATTCATTTATCAACAATTATATTTGTTGATAACAACTATTCTTCTTCATCGCCTATGAAAAAGTATAACAATTTTTAATATTTTTTTATTACGAAAATAGTTTTACGTTATTTTTTAATATTCGTATGACGTTAATTTAACGTAATCCGATTCAATTTTAAATAGCCCAAACAGCTGCCTCAGATGTCTTTGTTTTGTAAAAAACACAACTGTGATAGGTAACCAACAAATATCTCTGGTAAATCGTTCATTGCCGTTGGACTATACACGCCCGGGGCTCCTTCAGACAATCATTGTTTGGCCAATGGTTCAACTAATTTCTGCACTGTATCCAACTAATGTCGTTGCTAGTACTCGTCTTGTAATGATAGCGACGACGCCGCAATGTGTAATCGTACAGACAATGCGTTGCGCCCGAAGGTCGATTTCCTCTCCTTTTTTTCTTCACAATTCTTTTTAGACATGCAGGCCACGTACATCGATCGTCTTACAAAACAGAATGTCTCCCCCTGAGAATACCAAATAATATCCATCGACAGCAGTCTTCCAATTACGCCAAAGCCTTTCAATATCGTATTTGTAGCAGACCGAAATGTCTGGTTGGGTTTGCCCAAAAAATCTTTGCACAATCGTTGATCTACCTATACTTTATCTAATATACAAAAACCAACTTTTATTGATATTATCTCATTTGTATTGGAACAAGTAGATTGAAAAGATGTTCATCGACCGTTCTTTTAGTACGAATAATTAGTCGAAATTAACAATATTTAGTTAGATACATCTTGTTCGTTTATAAAAATTCATTTCTATTTTTATATTAAGTATCTTAGTACGATTGCAAGGTAACATGCACATCGAATCATAATAACCGATAAAAAGCCTTAAATACTTTCATTAAGTACAAGTAAAATACATTTTATTGATTTGGTTCTAATTTACTCGAGCTATAAAAAAGTAATGAATTCACCATTTGTTAAAACGTCTACATGCTGCTCTTCGAAAATTATCGAGATAATATTTTTTTTCATCGTAAATTTAACATTTTATTGATTCAACCATCGTCAGTTGCTTTTTAATGCAATGCATAAACAGACGACTAGAACAGTGGCTACCCAACCAAACGAGTTATACGTTAAACTGCTTGTTGACAATGAACAAATCCAACTGTAACAGAATCGGCTGAGGTTTTTGATCACTTTAATGTTCTGTGGACATTCGCTATATTGAACATTTTTACTTTCAAATCCTCAAACGTCTTCAACCTATTTTCAAATTACCAACACTCAATGTTGTTAATACTTAGTAATTTTCATATTGTTCTATTTAGAGTCTAAATAGAACAATATGAAAATTATGAACGTTTCTTCAGTATTCGTCATGAGATTACTCTGTTTTTAGCTACGAAGGAAAAAGAGTATCCTGATGTTTATGATTTTAGTTGGTGGCTCAAAGTAGCGTTTCTCACTGATACAATGGGCTTTATGAATGAAACACTGACTCGATTGCAAGGACACTACAATAACATTGTAACAAAAATGATTAGTATTGTGTTTTCACAGGAACAAAAACTCAAAATGTATATCGAAGAATTGTTAAACAGTGATTATTCTAGCTTTCCTTCTGTTAAAACTTTATTTGATGAAAATCCAGATGAAAGTCAAGATGTTTCTGATTTAATAAAGCTGTTGACAGATCTAAAGAACGAATTGTCTTTGAGGTTTAGTGGCTTCAGGAAGTATCAAGAACCATTTCGCTTGGTGGAAAACCCATGGTCAATTACAACAGCAAATATAGCTCATCTTTCTGTTTTTGGATACGAAGCTAGGGATTTGAAAAATGAGTTAATTGATCTTCAGCATGATACAGAGCTCAAAAGTGTTTTTGAAGAAAAAAACAAGAATAAAGCTCATTACGAGTTCTGGAATGCAGTTGAAAAGGACAAATTTCCTAACTTAATTGACTGTGCTCAGAAGATTTTGTGTGTTTTTGCATCTACGTATGTCTGTGAATCTACATTCAGTAAGCTGAAGTTCATAAAAAACAAGTACAGATCCAGATTAACAAGTGAGAACGTTGACAACATTTTGAGAATTTCAGTTTCTTCTCAACCTGCCAACATAGATGCCATATTAGAAAGTTGTGAAAGATTTCGCCCTTCGACTTCAAAGAATTAAAGTTCAAATTCAAGTAGGCCAAATCATGAAATTAAGTAAAAGACTTTTCCCTACTTTTTTATATGCAAAATGTTTATTTTTTGATGTAATAAACTTAAGTAATAAACTAATGTAATAAACTTATGTTANCTTCTAATCAGTTTTTTATAAACACTTGATTTTTTTTAAATTACGCTTGAAAAATGTATAAAATATCATGTCATAATGTATGTTTGGATGAAGCCAGTTTCACTATAGAATCTAATAATATCTATTTTATATTACTTTTATAATAGCGTTACAGAAATTAGCGACTTATTTAGAGTTATGTCCCGCTGTGTTTTATACACTTATACGATTCCCATATGAGTGTAATTAATGTTCAAAGCACGTTTGTTGCACTCAAGTACACATATTATTATATCCATTTGTTTTTTTCGTGTTCGATAAGAAGAATTCTCGTGTACACTTCAATTAATTTCGTAGAAACGATATGGCAAGTTTTGCACGGCTGTGATGTTAAATTTGTTAGGGATTTTCTGAAGGTTTTTTTTAAGGTTGACAGTGAATGTCGCCGCAGGGCACACTATAAAATTCTTGTGTTATATAGAATAAAAAAAAATTAATGCAGAAATGAACTTTTCACAGACTGATAGTTTACATTTTAAACTTTGATTTTTAAAAAAGCGTTTTTATAATCCTAATATAATAATACTAATAATTATTAAAATATAATTTACTAATGGAACAGAATTTTTTATCCAATTTGTTATCGAACATTAAAAATAATTTCGTCTTATTGTTCCCCACAAATCAAATAATTTGGTCGACAACATTCCTGTGGTGCTATTTCCCGTCCATTTCCCACACACAAAGATTCGAAGTCAACAATGAGACATGAGTACAATTCTTTTTTTTCAATTCTTTATACGACGATTGGATACGGAGGTTCTCGTTGTGAACGTATAGATACGCGTTATTACAGACATCTATGTCTGTGTAGACGCTTTTTAAAAACATGATACGAACTAAAATTTATAAAAAGCCGTAATCAAATTTCATCAATCCTTTTTAACCAATAATTGCAAATAACTAATTAAAACATACTATTCATTTTTTGTTTTAATGTTAACAACATTATTATTTTCAAAATAATAGTCCAGAAAACTGATATCATATTTTCAGAAAAAAAAAACAATTTCTTTAGAAAGTAACGAAGAACTGCAATCATAAAACATCTCCCTCTTATGTTAACCTTCGTAACTGACATTAATTTTGTTGCGGAATAAATGATCGCGTACGAATAGAACGATAAAACAGAGATCTTAAGTATTAAAGTAAAACTGTAAAATCTAAATGCCTGCGATTTCCATTTAAGGACTTTCCAGATGCGTTTAAATAGTTTGTCGACAACTCTAATGATAAATAATATGCTGTGACTAAATCCAGTTTAGTTGGAAACTCTAAATACTTCGTCACTATCGACATTGTACAGCATACATTTTATAAGTAATATATTTTTAAAATCTTATAAAATTGAGATTATGATGTCTTGTCAAAATATGTAGTTGCATTCACTGTAAACTACCCACTGGGTCTAAATATTTTTCAATGTAATGTTTAATCGTGATGGATCGTCTTTAATTTGTTTTATTGTTTAACAATGTGTTATTGTGTTTCAAAATCATACTTGACCACCCGTACGGATCAAATAGTTAAACATGAATAACATGAAGGTTTATGCACCATCTACTAAAAAATAAGACTTCAAAATACAATACAATACATTGTCGGACAAAATATGAATACTTCATTCGTTTTTGCATCAGTTCTGCGTAATATAATACCGATAATTATCTCAGTTAATTGAACAAAAAAATGTTGTAAATCAACAAAATTTAGGATAATTAAGGTATATTAAAAAATATACATTCACTTAGGATCTAGAGAAACTTTAAAATAAGTCTATTATTAAGAAACTATTTTTTGTTACTACATATTTCAAAACAATATTATTTTGAGAAATAAAAAGTTTTCAGAATTATACTGTAGGAAATATCACGCCCAGGATCACATCTATAATTTAGGGCAAAATGCAAGTATGTACCGGAAATTATGAAACTTTTTTAGTTTCGTAANTGTTACTACATATTTCAAAACAATATTATTTTGAGAAATAAAAAGTTTTCAGAATTATACTGTAGGACATATCACGCCCAGGATCACATCTATAATTTAGGGCAAAATGCAAGTATGTACCGGAAATTATGAAACTTTTTTAGTTTCGTAAATACTATGATTGCTTGTGTTACAATTTAGTTGAACTACAGTTTACTCTAACAGTATTTTTTATGAAATTATTATAATACAAAATTCACCATAAAAATTAGTTACCTCATTATGCTTTCATATAAGCCAAGTGTTTTATTAAGTAGTTTATGAAATGCATTATTCCATCCCACTTCTTTGAGTATTTTCTCACATTTTCTGTCTGCGTTCTCTCCACTTTTTATGTTAGTCACCTTTAAGTAACATTCTTTCATGATATCACATGCAATGTTCACCCACAAGTCACTACTTTTTTAACGTTTAATTTTTAATGCAAAGATTGTGCACGCGAACACGTGCAGTGTAAGTGTTCTTCCGACGTCGCATAACGTTAAACTTATAAATTATTAAAAGGGGTTTATTCTTTTTTTTATCTAATTGTTAGTTTCTTGAATAAGGAGAAGCGAAATTTCGAAAAATAAATTAATTTATTGAATAATTAATCAACGAGAATTATTATTATATTAACATTTAAATTTAATACTTTGACCTAAAGATACAATGTAATAATGAAATAATTCCAAAACATAAATACTCTTTTATGTATAATTGGTAATTTATATCCAATACAAAATATCTATAAAATCATGATAATAACGTTAAACATAATTATTTTGTGAAATATTTAATGTATGTTTTATTTTTATTCACTTTCCATTTTATCGTTTTAGTCGATTGTTATTGCTGGAGCATTCGTTTAAATACTAACAAATAGTCAGTAATAACGAATTAAAAAATAAATCGTAAGTTATTAAATAAAAAAAAAAATTGAAATGTTAAATTCGTGTACTGTCAGTAATCGCTTTAAATATTCGTTAAACTGAGTGACTATAACATTATTGTTGTTTAATCATTTGCAGAGTGAATTTATAATGCAAAACGATTGGCTTTTATAATGAACCACGTACAATTACGGTATAGAAAACTAATGATAATGGTAAAAAATCATTTAAGTGTAGACTCGTAGTTCTAATGTTATGAAAGAGCTATAAAGACGTTCAGCACTACCATTTGTATTTTATCTCCATATTACGACAACACTCTTCAAAATTAATATAATTACACAAAAAATACACAACCTCACAATGTTTTAGTCACGGACCGACTATAGAACACGTTGTCAGATTACTATACATGCGATATCTGTGGGAACAAATCATACGAATAAGAAACCAATTACCTATTTTGCTTGTGAGGTCACAACCATTTATTCATTTTGTATTTATATTTTAAACAAAGTACTGCGTTTAATGGTTAAATACCACGTGATCATTACATAAATTTCCATTGAACAAACATACGTGAAAAAGCTTTTTTGCAAAATCTAAAATCTAAAATAGAAACAGAATTATTATTCATACACACACAAAAAACTGTATGTATCAAAAATTTAAAGTTAATAAAATATACTAATACATGTATATTACTGACTACTGATCGGTAGTGCATTTATCTAGAGCTAAATGGAATTTGAAATATTTAGATCGTTTTATAGTATATTATTTCTTGAAGATTTGTTTTAAGTTACAAAATGTAATATATAACTATATACTTTTGATACTTTTATCGAAAAATGTAGTGTTTTCAACTGAATACCTAATTCAATAATAATTGATGAATAATTAATAATAATAATAATTTAAAACCCAACCCTCAATAATTTATGAAAAAATACAATTAATAATAAATTCATAGTTGCCTTTAAAAGTTTAGGCTTAGAGGCATGTTTTTCTATTTATTAATGTACACTTAATAAATAAGCACGAGATAAAATGTTTCACAGGCAGTTTGCAACTTTTTATTAATTGATTCGAAATATTTACATTAATTCAGCCATTAAAGTATATTTTTACAATGTATAACCGGTTGCTTACTTAAGTTGCATTGCAAATTTAATTAGTTTTTCAGTACAACATGTAGTATAATAAATAATACACGCGAGCTTGTAATAACTTTAAAAATTATGCTGTAATATTGAAACTTAATAAAGTACGAGCTATTTAATTTGAATATTCGACGGCAAACTGATCAATTTTTCTTATCTATTAGAAGCCTAACATTAATCAATTCAAACTAAATGGTAAAGTAGGAAATCCGTAGGCAGAGTACAAGAAGATGTACTAGATAATTATAGCGAAATTCACTAGATTTAAATAGAAAGTAGGCGGACTCCAATTAAAAATCAATATAAAAATCCATTATCATTCTACAATAATAATTATTTACACCGCTGAAAAAAAAATACAGTAGAATAATTAACAACTCTTGGTTAATACTCTTGGTATTGGTATGTAACAAAGTAATTCGATTTCTTACAATATTATAATTGTAGAAAGTGTATAAAGTTGCATCAAATATGTAGAAAGGAATATTTTATCACGTAAGTATAATTATTGGGTTTTGTTTTAAAGTAAACAACTCATAAATTACCAAATGCGACTAGATGACTAAAAAGTGTACTCGCAGTAATTTAGTTCGATATTACATAAAAATTAATAATAATTATTAAAGCGGAACGAAATATTTCTACAGAGTTTATTTAGTTTGATAAATAAACAATCATTCTAGTCGTACGAAAACGTGTATTTTATTTTAATTACTGGTAGTGTTGTAGTTATGAACTGACTTGGGCTTTTGTTAGTTGGATTGTTTCTAACAGACTAGAAATCACTCCAAATATTTTAATAAAATTTTCAGATTTCAAATATTTTTTAGTGTTTTTTACATTAACTACAAACTGAAACAATATTTATATATTTTTTTTACGTTTTCCTTTGACATTCAAACGATGGATATAATAGCTTTTATTCGTCCCTAGTGTAAAATTACAAAACTGTTAATTAAAAACGTATTGTGCAGAGGCCTTTTATTTCTCCCCTTATATTTGCACTAACCCCCTATTTGAGATAAACACAGAAAGAATGTGCAGAAATTAAAATGCAAATTATATCACAGATAGCATGATGAACCTGGTACAGATCCAATGGGAAATAACTTTTGCAAAACGATTTAAACTATTTAAGTTCTGCATACGTGTAATATTATCTTATTGGTCAAATATTTTTCCCCCGAATAATGTTTTTCCATAGTAGCTCTTTTGCGATTAAAATTAAAAATTCTTTAGTGTTTTAAATGCTGCTTAGTGCTATAATGTTGACTCATGATTCTTTGTTAGTGTTATATTTACTCGTAAATCCAATTCTCAACTATACAAATTAGTACAGATGCTTAAAATACAACTAAAATGAGTTTCATTACATAAAATTTGTATAAGCCTACTTAAAAAAAAAAGCAAATTTTAAACAAATTGAAAATCATTGAAAAAAATATCTGAGATTTCTTTTAAATCGTTTGGCATTTCATAAACTTTTAAGGAAAATAAGTTAAACGAAATATCAATTTTAAACATTTTTGTTCTGTTTAATAATAACATATAATTAATAAATTAATCTTTATGTTAACTATCTATATTTATTATTAACAGATACGTTTTTTGTTCGGCTCAATTGAGCATGAATAATACAAATAACATTGTTGTTTACCTTGTGTTGATAGAACAAGTGCCTAATAGGATTTAAGATATACCAGAATGGTCCTAATCTTTTCTTGCGATCCCAACCAAACCTCATCGTTAGATAGACATAAGAATATATGTGTATCGATGCGAGGATTTATTCTCATCTAAAATAATAGTACACTCATCTATGCATAGATAATTTGATTAAGTACGAAATACTTATATTGAAACACATTAACTAATTAAACATAAACTTAAAAAAAAATAAGAATCAAGATATTCTGAAAAACGTTAATTTTAATAAAGTATACTGAAACGATCCTTGTTTTTAAGTCATAAAATAATTACAAGAAAGTATTGTTATTGAAAAAATGTTTCCAATATATTGTACTGAAAAATATAATTTACTAGAATGCTGTAAGACAAATAATAAATGTTTTATGCTTTGGTTGAACATTTTTATGTGTTATATATTATTTGACTTTAATTTTGAAAATAAACTAAAATTAACGGTTCTTAATACATAAAAAGAGGTCTACGAGCTGACTTCAGAATAATTTTGAACAATTACATGGCGCCATACGAAAACAACTATCTTAATAACAAAATNGCCATACGAAAACAACTATCTTAACTCGTAAAATTAACAAAATCGTTTAAAAGACTAATCTTGCAAAAATAACTGTATTCTTATACTTGAGTTTCGTGAAAAAAAAATGAAAGTCTTGTACTCGTATCAATTAAGAATTAAAATTCAGCCACATGCAAACGATATCTTAGATTGATTTTTGTACCGTTACCGCGGTTATCTTTTAGGACTTAAGGAATCGATAGGAATTCTCTACTAGACCCGATCAACGAAAATAACGTTAATTTTTATCCTCAATCGAGTTAATCGATTGATAAAGTGCAGTCTGTTGGTATTATTATTTTCTTAGCAAGAGAGCGCAGTCATACGATGAACAAATTGTCAATACACTGATCATTAATGATTGAAAACTAGACATCTATACAAGATTGTGTACGTATATGAGGAACTGACCAACCAACCAAAGATTGCAAGAGTAAATATTAAAATACCATTAATGTTAACAAATACTATTATTAAATCACTCGTGTATTTTCACGTTATCCATTTGCTGAATTGTATTAACGAGTGTTCAGTTAAAAAACCATAATCATATATGTATGAGTTACGTTTATAATCCGATTATTAAAATGAGTTTGTCGAAATAATCATAATACTCCATTCTTATGTTGTTTAATAAATGGAAAATTATAGAAACGGTAGTTTATTTAGTCATTACAACAGAACAATTGGTCGAGAATCTAAATCCGATACGATTTAGATTCTCGACCATAATGCATCGGTTGGGTTTATATTTAAAGACCGTTTTGTCGTGCACGTAATAAACTAATGTAAAGACTTGTAAAATGTATTTAGTTCAATTATTCCTATCAGTTGATCAGTATTGTGTATTGATGCAATGAATGTTAATGAATTAATGTTTTATATCACGAGAAAAATGCACTTGGATTATTTACAAATATAATGCATTTTAATCGACTAACAGATACTTTCAACTCAAATTATGTAACATACAAACGATAAAAAATAAATGAGCTCCATTTTGTTTAATCATAAACTTAATTTTAAGATTTAAAATTAAAAACTGTTTTGCGTATAAAACTAATGACTATTCATTATATTGAATAAATTTAGGTACATTTTAAGCAAACAAGTCTATGTATTTTCGGTTCTGAATAAAAACTAGTTTTGCACCATATTTTTCGATAAAATACAAAAACACGAGCATAAATTCGATGTTTTCTTGTTCAAATATATCTATATATTTAAGTATATTAAATACCATTAACTAAAATAAAATAAATTAATAGAGGGAAACAATTATTGTACATAATGTACGTGCTTGTTTATCGCTTGAACATACGAAGTATGCTTAATCAATAACGCCAACAAATAATAAATGAACAGATAAGACAAATTGTAACTTAATATATGTGGCAAATAGTATAAATGTCATGCAACAATATTTGACCGACGGCCCACCACCTTTCACGTCATAATAATTGTTATACTCTCCTTTCACTAACTCCTACACAATATAACAACGACTTGTTATCATTAGCGTATCACGATTTATCATTGAACAAAAAAGGTATTTTTTCAACAATTTGTCAATGTTTTTCTTTAGTTTAGCACATTATCTATTGTGCAAGTTGCAGCAATCTGACTTTTATTTTGCAAATAAACATTTATACACAAAAGTCATTCGACAAACGATGAACTTATAATAGAGGACTAAAGGTTTTTTTTTATGTATTTTGAATGCTTTGTCTAACACGGAAACCTCGTAAACTATTAGTAGAAACTTCAAAAACATTTGAAATTATATCAGTGATCTTTGAGTTATAATACAGAATCCAAGTACAATTTAATTTATTACTGCGTGCGTAATTTACTTTTATTTAATTACTTTGCTTTGATTATTAACTTGAGAATTTAAGACCCGGTTTTTCAATTTTTAATTTTCATTATTTTTATTTGTCCGGTATAACAAATGATGAGTATAAAATTAAATATTACACGACACATAATTTTTGCAATATGATCACATTAAAATATATTTAATTCACGACCAACTTCCAGTTTATTAACTGAATACTGTTAATTAAATACTTATTACACGAATTTACAAAAAATAAAAATGTATTTTACGTTAATTAAGTTTGGTAAAATATTGAACTAAATGAGATGCCAACTACAAGTATTAAGCGCAATATATTTCATAAATAATAATCAAATCAAGAGAAAAATTACTCTATTACTAAGAAGTGTGAAATGAAGTACATTTGACACGTTATTGTATTCAATATGTAGTACTATTAGTTAAAATCAGTTTTCTTAGATTCAATACACTATTAATACAGTGTTATATTCAAGATATTTAAAAAAAATGCAAAAATGAATTACTCAAAGTTATATAAGCTCCGCCAGTGTAATTCTATTTATAAAGCTAAGATGTGTCAAGGCACATCTACTAAAAAATATGCAAAGAATATACCAGAATAAGTCAGAAAAATCCCATATTTGAATAATCCTGAGCAGGACAACAATGAGACGAACGGAGGTGAAGGATATCGTTGATAGATGAGTGTGTTTGCAGTGGAAATTATGCGGCATGAAGTATAATGTATTCTTGTGGCATACGGCGGCGGCGAGAGAGCTCAGAGGCAGTTCGCCGTCTCAGAGTGCCACAACGACAAAACATGACTGATTAACATCATCTATAGAGTACTGCGTCGGTCTCCTGTGTGTGTATATTAGTGCGAGTTGTACTTGAGGGAACTCAACAACGCTGATTAATTTATACATGATGTATATTATTAGGTACAACATCATAACAGTTGTTCGAAACACTATGGAATCGAATAATTTTTTTTTAATTCAACCCCAAAGAAAATTTCAGACGACGGCCGAAAATAATTTAGCCGTTTACCGAAGACAATTAGTTATAATAATTTTAGATCTTTAGGAATAGTGAGAAATAATACTAATCGTCACTTTAGAATTTAAAAAAAGAAAACAAATTTCATTTCTATTTTTCAANAACGGAGGTGAGGATATCGTTGATAGATGAGTGTGTTTGCAGTGGAAATTATGCGGCATGAAGTATAATGTATTCTTGTGGCATACGGCGGCGGCGAGAGAGCTCAGAGGCAGTTCGCCGTCTCAGAGTGCCACAACGACAAAACATGACTGATTAACATCATCTATAGAGTACTGCGTCGGTCTCCTGTGTGTGTATATTAGTGCGAGTTGTACTTGAGGGAACTCAACAACGCTGATTAATTTATACATGATGTATATTATTAGGTACAACATCATAACAGTTGTTCGAAACACTATGGAATCGAATAATTTTTTTTTAATTCAACCCCAAAGAAAATTTCAGACGACGGCCGAAAACAATTTAGCCGTATCCCGAAGACGAATTAGTTATAATAATTTTAGATCTTTAGGAATAGTGAGAAATAATACTAATCGTCACTTTAGAATTTAAAAAAAGAAAACAAATTTCATTTCTATTTTTCATTGAGGCATATAATGTATTTTATGCATAGAAGTGTATTTAATTATGCATTTTCAGTCTTTAAAATAAGTCATTTATTTGATTAAATAATAATTATTATTTAATTATGAATGAATTAATTATAAGCGTTATTAGTTCCAATTTTTTACGATACAACTTCAATTTTTAATTCGTACTACAACTCAAAAATATTATTAATTATAGATATCAAATTAGTGTTTATAATTATTTTAGTTTTATTTTATTAGAATTTTTTTAGTAATTTGAATTCTAAAATTATATTGAGCACTAGTTTTTTTTAACAAAAAAATGAATTGCACGAAAACCTTAAAAGTACGAGTACTACATATTTTGGTTCTACACCATCATGACCCTTCAAAACAAAAAATATATACACTCTTTACCAACATAACATTTTACCGACAGCCTCATTACTTTAAAAATAAACTTATGCCAGACACGTTAAAAAAAGAATAATGAGTAAGTACCTTTAGTCTTAATTTTTTTGGACAAGGTTTTTTCTATGTACTATTAACTCTATCGATTTATACTTTCATGTTGATATATTTTTTACATTTTACAATGTGAGTCGTATCACAAACATTTACAGTTCCAGTAATAGACTTTTACATACTATATAAAATTGGCTTAACTCATCTAATAAACATTGTTTTTGATTTTTATTTGCGGAACGAATAAAATTCTTCAGTCAATTGCCTACTACCAACTAAACGTGCGTGGAAAAAACTTATAAAATTATATAATGCTTAATGTGTGGTGGAAACCATCAAAATTGATGGTATTATACCCGTGAAGGAATAATGCATTTCAATTTCATGGTTTTCCACGTAGTCCAATCGACGAGGTCATTGTCAGTTTTTTAGCTATGTAGACCATATATGCTGTGATACATGGTAATTGGCAAACCTTACCTCCAAAAATGTTGAGAAAATTCTGGGCACTTGTCACATTTACGGCAAGTACTGATGGTTGTATTTGCTTTTTGATGAGCATCCATATCTGAAAAATAAAATATAATTTTGCGGATTAATCGCTATTATTGACTAAAAGTCTGCTGTATTGTTCAATTTTGCTATAGGAATAATTCTTGTTGAAAATAAAATAGCAGCTTTACTATAAAGTTACCAAATCTGGAAACCTACAACATATGTCAGCCACTACTGGGCAATTTAAATATCTTTATTTAAAATTGTATATAATAACGTTTTATAATACAAGACCAAAACCAATAAACACCTCTACAAAAGTGAATCACAACCAGAACCGGATATGTTAATTCATATTTATTGCTGGAATAAGACGATTAAAGAGATATTATCAAAGCTATAAGCTACAAGATAACACATCATTCTGCGTTGGCGTCCTTTATTATCAAGATCATAATTTTAGATGTCGCTACTTACTTCTCGTAATGGGTTTCTAAGATTTATTTAGAAAATTTGGTCATATGAAAATACTGAGAATCATATTTCAATGATTTCATATTGGCTTTTGTTTTGGAAAAAAATATCTCCAAGAATCACTAGTATATCTCATAATATACTTTCAGCTTCGAAGCTGAGAAAGTATTAATTTTACCATGATGTGTTTATTTATTTTAGTCTGTCACTACTTTTTCTCAGATCTCATTGTGCCGATTTTTCTCAACGATACGTCAAAAAAAAAAATATTTCCGTCGTACCCCGTAAATGGCATAAGTCCCCCAAAAAATTACAATTTTTTAAATCTGTATATTTCGACATTTTTTTCTAAAAATTGTTATAACTTATTGAAAAATGAAAATAATTTTTAATATTAAAACCATAGGTTTTTACTTTTATTTGAAATCATTTTTTTGAAATTCTGACCCTATTACCTGCCCACAGGGAGATTCAAAATACCAATTGTTTTTACAAAAATCAACTTGTATTCATTAATTTTCTTATTAAATACCAAATAACACTTGTATGTTGAGATAATTAATTATATTTAATAATATAACGCCATTAAATTAAAAGTCTAAATTACTCAAATAAGATAATATGTTTTAAATAATAAACATATTTGTAAACCAAAAATAATATTGTCATCAAACTATTCATTAAATTAATTTTCAAACATACATTTTTCTTGATTATTTATTTGCTTAATTATTCATAATGGTAGTATTTATTTTAATTTACATATTTTGATGCCTTTTTTATAATATAGTTTTATTTCAATAAAATTTACCAATTCCATACATTTTCTAGAATTATAACCTCAATTTGATTAACGATTTAATATCATATCGATACCTTAAAACACTTTTATCCATATCAGTTTTTCTTTAATTTTTAGATATTTATAGCATTATTATAGAGATAATTAGACAACATTAAATAAATTATTTCTTTTTAGATCAAAAACATTTTTTTATCACAGATTAGAATTTTATTCAGTCTAAGAAAAAAACGTATTTAAATTTTTTTCAAAAAACTAACAGTAGTGTGATATTTAAATTTTAAATAGATTATTAAAAACACAAAATCTAACTTAATAGTAAATGTAGTAGAAGCTGAAAAAGAAAAAATAACAAAATAAAGTGCATGTGGACTTGACTGGGATATAATCATCATTAATTAAACGGATGTTGATCTTATCCTGGCCGCCTCTAGAGAAAATCGAGAACCAGTCCTGTGTATCAGCGAGTGTGTGTGTGTATGTGTGCGCCGTGCGCCGTGCGCGTTGTGTGACTGTATAACAGCAGTAGAATGCGACAAGTTAATGCCTTCCGATTGGATCGGTATAAATTATACAATTGTGCATGCCTACTTTTTTATATGTATATGTACTATTATACATTTGATACCTATAACGGGATGAACTACTCTCGACTCCCAGATACGTAATATGAAAAAAAATAAAAAGAAGTAAACAGCAGTCATTTAGAGTTACCATTGCCAGTGAACGAGAACAAACAAAAGCTACAGAAGCGTTATATACAAAGCATATTAAACATTCGTATAAAAATACGTATACATTATACATTACACTACATTCAATTAACATATTCGGATATCACAAACAAAAAATAATTTGCAAGAAAAAAATTGGTAAACAATTAACACTCTTGTCAGATATAAACAGATATAATTCGGCAAATTATATTTAAATAAAAAGGACGAAACAGAAAAATATTCTTTGAAGATTTCGAACATTTATCAAAAAATTAATTTTAATTAAACCTACTACATAATAAAAAAATCTACCAGAATACAGATATACCAGGTATTGTTTTATAAATAGAAAAACTATCTAAGCTTTCAACATTTAACATCATTCAAATTCTTGAAAACTCTTCAATGTGATATTAGTAATTTTCTGTATCGCGTAGAAATAAATTCTTGATGAGTTCCATTATTCGCTAATTATAAACAATATTTATATAAACAACCTCAAGGCATAAGTACATTATCCAACTATAATCTTTGTTATAATAGCATATTACACTCAGTACAAGAACAACACATTAAGACACCTGGACTTATTGTCGCTTAAAAAAAAAATAAATGTCGATAACGTATAAAATTTATAAACTTATTACCCTATGACCAACATAAGTTGGTAAGTTTTATTTGTTTGTATAATTTAATTCTGATACAATGAAACTATGTTAATTTTGTATTCCAAAAATACTCTTTAAATACACCTGCAGATGATATTTTATTATATAGGAAAATACACTGGATAAACAATCATTATCGGCTCTTGAGTTTTACCATCTTACATCTAATTACAGTGTGTTCACTACAATGTATAATTGATACACTGTGGTGGCTCGAGTTGACTCATTTATAACACCTATAGACTTTCTTATACGTTGTTAAATATATGTAGAAAAACTATTAAATAGTAATTATTTTTCAGATAATTTGACTAAAAATTATAACAAGTCATTATCTATATATAATTTTAACGGTTTAATTATAAATATTAGCTTAGTACATTGACTGACCTAAAATTAAAACACGTTATTAAGTTAATTTAAAATTATACACTCATCGTATGTAACTATTTTTAAATAAAGTACCACTACAATGAAATGGTAAGAAGTCTTTTCCCATGAAAATTTAAATACTGATTTTTGAAAGCCAGTTTTAATAATTTCAAAACATTTACATTTACACTGAATGCACAATTTA